AACATGTTATAAAGATGCAATTTTATTGTAGGATGTTGGGAGGAGTTAATGGAATGACATTATGTGCTTTTGCTCTAAAATGGAATATTTCATATAAAAGGATGTAAAAACAATTACAGTCAAATGAAGGCCGAAGTATGATGAAAGCAAGGTATATAAATACTGCATATTTGATTTAAAATATGTGATTCAATATGAATTATAGATGATGACTGTAGAAGGGACGCACAGAAGTTTTTGTAACCAACCATCACACTTTCTACAATTTGTAATGGAAGATGGTTTTGTGTTTTTTGTTTTTGTCTGTGTTCATTTAAAAAATAAAAAAAAAATCTTCAAAAAAAAAAAAAAGAAGAACCTATCAGTTCCTCTTGTACACATCCCCAAGTACAAGACATACTCCTACATTATGCAGAACCAAGACATTTTGCTCCTGGTTTAGAAAATCTATATCCCAATTATATAACACAAATAAGTATCTTAAAAATTGTTTCCTTCCAACAATATATGTATTATGTATGTGTAGACTTTTGGGAGAGGGCATCAGAATTTCATTTTTAATGTGTGCCAGTGTGCCCATAAATGACAATAAAGGTTATTTTATATCTTATCTTATAACAATTTCATAAACAAGTCTATGTAACTTTCTTGAAAGCAAAACTGAAATGCCATTCCTTTCTCCCATGATGTTTGTTTTTGACCCAAATCTAGCCTATAGACCTTCTGAAAGTTTAATTCAAGTATTAACCCAGTATGGCTCTACATAACTTTTTGTGACCAGCACTGTCATTTATTTGCAGAAATCTCAGAGTAGGGTGCTTTATATCAAAAGTCCCCTGAATATGTAGTGGTATTAAAAATGGCCTTCAGTCCACAATGTAGATCAAAATGTGTGTGTGTGTGTTCTATCGCTTCTCAAATTATATGTGTTATAAGTAGATTTACTTGTCAACTATAAATTGAAACATTTTGGATAATAGAACATGAATACCGGCTGAAATACATATGAAATACCAGAAATACTAATACCTAGCCCTGAAAGCAAAGTGTATGAATAAAAGGAGAAAACTCCAGACTGTTTTGATTTTCCAATCTCACTAGAGCCCTGGAATTTCCTGATGGCCTCCCATCCAGCTTTTTGAGTTTGGCTAAGGTTGCTTAAATGTTGCCATCTAGCCAGCTGTATTCCAAATATTTTACCAAAGTAATTCAGTTTGTTACAAACCAATTATTAATGCCTTAGAACTTCTCTATTTTATATAGCACGCAACAGGTTTCCATGGAAGTCTCTTGTCCTATCCTTAAGTTGGGAAATAAGATGAGAGCAATTCCTTTCAATTAAGCAGCACAAGGGGCTGAGAATCGAGATGCATGCAATACTTATTTTACTCTCTTCGTTCTGATTTGGATTCTTCCAGCGCTCAAGAACAATGAGTCTGGTCTCATCTTTATGCCAAAAGCAGATAAAAAGTTTATTTTTGGCTAAAGGATCTTACTCTTCTGCAGAACTGTTATTATCACCCCCATAAATTTAGCTTACTATGTCCAGGAACCAAGTCTAGCTCCATCCAGGACCACTATAGCAATAGCAGTAGACTTATATACCGCTTCATAGGGCTTTCAGCCCTCTCTAAGCGGTTTACAGAGAGTCAGCATATTGCCCCCAACAATCTGGGTCCTCATTTTACCCACCTCGGAAGGATGGAAGGCTGAGTCAACCCTGAGCCGGTGAGATTTGAACCGCTGAACTGCTGATCTAGCAGTAGCCTGCAGTGCTGCATTTAACCACTGCGCCACCTTGGCTCTTCTAAATGCAAAGCCCACAATATATTTTATACAACTAGCAAAGCAAGTGAGATAGTCGTATGTCTAAGAGGAAGCTCTGTAGACCTGCTTCCTTACTGTATGGGCTGCCCTTCTCAGACAAAGCAGGATCCACTGTGAGGATTTTCCATTCCATGTCAGGTAGTGCAGAAGATTCCTCCACACTGATCCACTGTAGCTTCAGCTCACTCCCTGCTGGGGGGAGCACACCCACTTTCTATAAAGCAGATATAATATGCTGTTACTAGAAGCACTACCTTGAATAGTATAGTGTCACACAATCTCTTAGCATTATATGTGGCCTGATGGGAGCTAGTTTTGTCCTCATATTTGTAAGAATGTATATTTTTATTGCAAATTCTAAGGGACTAAGCCAGGGGTGGGTTCTTGCTAGCATAACTACCGGTTCTGCGCATGTGCGCATTTGCAACTAAAAAGATCTGTGCATGCGCACATTAAAAAAGGGAAAAAAATACAAAGAAGATTGTCCTGCGCATGCACAGAATAGAAAATCAAGATTGCGCTGCCGAGGATAGAACCGGTTCGGGTGCGTGTCCAGCCAAGATACTACGTACTCGGCCGAACTGGTAGGAACCCACTCTGCACTAAGCTCATTAGTTTTCCTCTTAAATATAATGCCTAATTAGGATATCAGATCATTGATTCGAGGTGGCTTCGAAAGCAGCTTATGCTTTTTGCGGCTTGCTGGTTTGAATCTGATTTCAGAAATCACAGTGATGATTGGAGGCCTGCTTCAAAAGTGGCTGTAGGAAAACGATGACTTAATGAAGCTGAACCCAAAAAAAAAGCAAGCCACTCAAAATGGTGCTTTGTCCACTGCTGAAACAATTGCCTCTTTAATTATGATTTGTACAACTCATGATTTGGCAGCATGCCTGTTGCAGACCTCCATTTTGAGAACAGATTTTCTAGGGCACCAGAGCTTGGATTAAGAAGTATTCAGGTGACTGTATGTTGATGTTGCAAAATGTAAACATATGAACGTCCAAACTGATTTTTTTTTAGGGGAAGGAGGATTAGTTGAAGTCTTCTAGAGATTAATTAAGGAAGAAGACAACCCAAAATGTCTCATGCAAGTACAGTATATGGGGAAAAGTACATTAATGATGATAGCTCACCAAAGTCTCTGAATTGTCATGGTAATGGGGAAATGGAAGCCCCAAAGCAACCCTTATCTTGATCTGCACAGGAAATTTCTTACCAGACTTGGAGGGCAATTGGGAGATGAACAGCTCACCACTAGCAGATCCTGTTGAACTCCTAGTAGAGTCCAGCTACCTTCTGATGTGCCTAGGCAAAGTATCAGGGATGTTATTTCAGATTTATCTTGGTTATCTTGATTCATGACCCAATGCATGAAAGTTTCTTGTCAAAGACCATTGTGATAAAGGAAGTGGGGGAATCTAATTCTGCAAGGAAAATACCATAATCTTGATATTTGCTTCTTTAGAAACAAATGGAAAAAACAACAACCTGCTGGACATGTGCTTTAATCCCAGTATGGCATTAAGATCTATATAGAAAAATGGTATGAAGCTTTTAAAAAGAAAAGGCCTCTAGGGTAAAGGAACTGTTGGATTCACTGAAATCTAGATTTAATCAAAGAGTAAGCACAAGGCAGCAAAAATTTGCCCTCCTTTGAGATGAGCATGTTTGTCATGTCAAACATTGAATACGCGTGCACACACACACAATTTAAGATTACATTGTACCTGATGTAATAGAGTTCACACTTCCTGATTTGGTATCCACAACTAACACTTCCTGCAAAAGATAGAATAGAATATCAGAGTTGGAAGGAGCCTTGGAGGTCTTCTAGCCCAACCCCCTGCTTAGGCAGGAAACTCTGTACCATTTCAGACAAATGGTTACCTAATCTCTTCTTAAAAACTTGCAGTGTTGGAACATTCACAACTTTTGGAGGCTGGTTGTTCCACTGATTACTTGTTCTAACTGTAAGGAAATGTCTTCTTAGATGGTTAAAAGATTATGCCTATGGACTTAGTTGATAAATGTATGGATAATGTACTGGTGAAGAACACTTTCCCCACATTCTCTCTCAACATAAATTACAAGGCTGATGGGTTTACCCAATATTTAATACATTTTATATTGAGCCCTAATCTTTCGGTCCTAACTTCTTTTTAAATTTCAACAGACAGAAGCTTTCTTCTAAGAGTCTTTGTAATCCATAGGACTCATCATCTTAGATGAAAATAATGGATTGCATATTTGTCAAGTTCCTTGTAAAACAATGGCTACAGGTTATAGGAATTCAATTTTTTGTTGAGCTAGAAAACTAATCATCCTTCTGATCTACTTCCTGAGAGTTACACTACTCCAAGCCCCTAAGTCAGAATGCAAACATTAAGATGATTGCTGTAAAAACCAATTGTTCTTCACCACATAAAGTGCCTGGTGGGAACAGATCCACCCCTGTTGTTAGATCTCTTTTTTCCAACATGAAGTATTTTCTGCTGGCATCAACCTACCTTTCTACTCCTCTGAGATGTGCTAAGTAAGACTCTTTGATTATCAGAGGCCCAGCAAAGCATGGACAGTGCTCCTGAGTAAATCCCATAAAAACCTTTAAAAAAAAGAGTTTGTGGAGATATTTCACACCAGAGATACAGTATAAGAAAAAATCTAGCATTCACTAAAATATTCCTCTTTTTCAGACTACAAAAACAACTCTTAAGTGCCTAAATGAGTCCATGTGGCAATGACAATACATAAAATGGAGAAATGGAGGGTAATCACAAAACGTTATTCAAATTTGGGGTATATATTCTCTGAAATGGGGACTTACCAGTTGTGGAAGTTCTGACTATGTCCACTACTGTATAGGAGGACTTCGCTTGCCAGTTGAGCTAAGCAGGAAAGAAGATTGCATACTGAGCATTTTCCTAACTCTTAGATTTCAGTATTAGTTTCATAATGGTAATCAGTGATGGCATTCAGTAGATACGAGAGCAAGAGGTATTGATTGTATGTGCCCTTATATTTTTTTAGCTTGCTTTTCATTCCAGACTGAAATATAATAAAAGTCACCGAGCAATTTCAAGTGACTGAAAATGTTCTGTACTAGCTAGCTAAGATATCATCATTTACTTTTCTAACTATAACTGATCAATGGCAATGGTCTAGGAAGTCAGTCTTTCAGATGTTAGGCCTGATATTTCATAGTTTCTAGTACACCGGGCAACACTGCTTCTGACTGAAAATATTGGGAATTTTTTTATGGTGGAGTCATACATCATGCCAAGTGATAAATGTGATGGTTGTAGGTTAGTGTATTCAGTAAGCCCAGTCTTTTTAAACAGTTCTTTATGGCTTAGTAGGATGTTTGAATCCAATTAGTTTTGGCTTATTAAAAATCTTTTGAGAATAAACCTTTATTTGGGAGGGAGACAGTACTGGACCACTGAGAAATCCTCTTTTTTTCCATCTTTGAGAGATGAAAGCCCTGAAAGTTTAGGAGTGGAAATAGCATGCAGGGGCTGATTATTATTTCTGAGGGAAAAGAATTTTGGAACAGAAAGGATGAACTGATGTTCCTTTGACTTGTTCTCAGTTGACAGGGATAGACAACATATTTTCAGGCACTCACCAACTGTAGCTTCAAACAGTGACGATGAGACCCAAACACTGGTCCCTCCAAGTATAACAGGTGAGTTTGGTCAGGGCTGAGCCGGGGAGAAGAGACAGACTGATCATCTGAAGTCAATAGTTCTGCAACCAGAATGGGGTGCAAAGTTGAGGATGGAGTTGTGTCTTAAGACAACTGCGTATATGACAATAAGAAAGGTTATTTAATCTCATTTTGCTGCAACAATTGACCAAAGACCAAGTGATAACATTACCAGAACATTACCAGAGCCATTCCAACAATTAACATTTATATTGACCTTCTGAAACTATTGCCTATACTTTGTTCTTCCAAAGTTCCTTCTGAGAATTTATTTCTTGATGGTTTTCAAATAGAAAACATTTCAGCTCAATGGCTAGAGATACTATATGAACTTTGAAAAGCCCAACTATGCTTGTTCAAAGTTCAGACATCAGAAAAATGACACACCTGTGGGAATTCCCTGAATTCCACTCAAAATATGAGAATATTAGAAACAGTATCCTTACATTGCAGAATCCCAGTATTTGACATGACATTGGGGGTAATCACAAACACAAGAAGGCATTATGTTTCTCCTTTGGTGTCCTAAAGAAAGAAAAGCAGTACTTTTCTTCTTTATACAGTTACAAGAAATACAAAACACCTGACCCACATTTGTATATTTCATGTAGTTCTCAACTTACAACTATTCATTTATTTAAGAAAATTTATGTGGCCACTCAACTCACTCTCAATGATTTTGGATGACTTACAAAGATAAGAACCCAATATAAAAAGAATAAAAAAGCAATAAATCCCCACTTCCTGGTGACAACAATCAAATGAGCCATTTGATGGGCTCCATCCCACTCTGGGACCCCAGGCCAATTGGCAAAACCAAGTCTTCAGGGCGTTGCGAAAGTGTGTCAAGATACCAATCTTATTTCCACAGGGATGATACTTCATAGGGAGGGAGCTACCACAGAGAAGGTCCTTTTCCTTGGCTGACTTAAGACTGACTTCCTTAAGACAGGGGACTTGTAGCATTCCCTGCCTCCCCACGCTGGTAGGTCAGATAGATTTGACCCAGAAAGGACAGACCTTCATCTATCTTGGTCCCAAGCCATGTAAGGTTTTGAAGGTGACAACCAGCACCTTGAATTGGATCCAGAAGCAAATTGGCAGCCAATGCAGTTTCTGCAGAAAATGACACATATGCACTTCTACCACGAGGGCCGCTGCATTTTGAATCAAATGAAGCATCTGGATTCTTCTTTTCAATTATATTGCCATGTAAAGTGCATTGCAATAGTCAAGACAGGAGGTGGATATGGCCTGGGTGACTATGAGCAGGGATTGTTGGTCTAGGAAAGTGCATAACTGGTGCATAAATCGTAGTTGTGCAAAGGGTGTCCTGGCCACGATTGCCACCTGCTCCTTGAGAAAGAGTCGTGAGTCCAGGAGAACCCCAGATTATGCACCGTGTCTATCTGGATCAGTGCCATCCCATCCAAGACCAAAGATGGCACTGAATCCATGGGCCAAAGAGCCCCAAACCAGAGCCATTCCATCTTACCAGGGTTCACTTAAGCCCACTGTTCCCCATCCAGCCCTTAAGAGCCTCCAAGCACTGCGTGAGGGAGGTCAAGGCATTGCTTAATTCACTATGGGTTGACACATACAGCTGGGTGTCATCAGAATATTGATGCTATCTCAGGCCATGGTGGTAGATGATCTCACCCAGAGGCTTCATGTAGATGTTAAACAGAAGCAGAGAAAGTACCGAGCCCTGCAGGACCCAGCAAAGCAGGAGTTGAGACTGGACTTCTTGCTGCCTGAAGACAACATTTGGAGTCTGTCTATTATAGTCATAAGATGTGATGAAGCCTTTTAATAACCCCCATCTTCTCAATCATTTAATGGACATGTAGGCTGTTATATAGAGTATGGGCTACCTCAATAGTTGGAGAAGCCTTGGAGGCACAGCGCAGACCCAGCCGCACCTTCCCCAGGCATCTCTCACCCACTAAGCACCCAGTGCTCTGTTCTCTTTCATTCGCGGTCCCCCCAGGCTTTGGCCTGCTCCCAAACAGGTAACTCAGTCACGCAACAGAGCCTGTCCGTAGAAGCAACTGGCACACAGAGACAGTTTACAGCTTGTAGGCTGAGACCTATTTCCCATCCAGCCACCCAAGGGACTTGTAGTATTCAGCCTGCTTCTCAGCCCAGCCTCACCCAACTTACCTTTTCGTTTTTTGCAGAGGAGCCCAGCTGATGGGAGGGATGGGATGCAATGCAAACAAAACTCAGCTTCCTTATAGAGGCTGCTGGTTTTATGGCAACCTTATGCTATTCTCTAAGCAAACAGTACTTCTCACAAGATTGTAGAAAGATCAGTATTTTAAGAAGGCTCCGTTTTTGGGGCTGCCTGCTTCTGTTGATCGGTTTAGGTTCCTTTGTGTGGCTGAGTGGCCAGCTTGGGAGAAGGCAAAGAAATGGCAGACCCAGTGGGATGGGTGGGGGAGATGGAGGGTGTTTCAGTGCCCCTGCAGTTGAAATTGGGTTGTAAGTACCTTTCTGGGGGAGTCTGAGGTAACTTTGAATGGCCACTAAGCAATTGGGCATACATCGAGGACTATCTGTATACAACATATAGTCAATTTGTGGCAGATTCTGGGAAGCAGAACATTTTCTCTGGTCTGCAAGTGTTTGAAGAAACTCCTTCACTTTTAGGACACTTAAGATAATCTCTGAGATGACTTACCACAGCTATTTTCAGACAGATCGAAGAGAAATAGAGCTGACCTATAACAGGGAGAGGGGACAGGTGAAGATTCACCTGAAGGAACCATTTTTCACCACCAACCCAGACATCATGCCAGACTGAGGGGAAACTCTCTGTGTTACAATAAGATTCAATATTCACAATCTTTACTTAAAAGAAAGCGGTATAGCAGTAAGGATTTGGAAGCTTAAAATCTCCTTTTCAGTAGGAAATACTCATATTTGCTAATGGTAATAGAACCCATGAATTAAGCAACCTAAGGGATGATGCTTTATGCAATTTCTTGGAAATGTGGATTGGCAGCAGGCCTTGGCTATTCTGTTTAAGGAAAGGCAGATATTAAGTTGGGTTTGGCCCCCCTATGTTTTCTTTTAAAACCGACTGACATTTCCATATAGGGCATGGGTGTCAAACTTGCACCGTCATATTGCCATCATGTGATGTTTCACGACATTTCCCCCCCTTCGTGGAGTTGGGGTGGGCGTGGCCTGCGCATGACGCATCTGGCCCGTGGGCTGCTACTTTGACACAACTGATATAGGGGAATTTCAGAAATCATTACTGATCTCAGATTTGAATAAAAACCTGTTGAGTTTTTCAAAGCAATTATTCATGTTGGCCCACTAAAACTACATTCATAATATCTCTTATGAACCCGTGAGATCTCACTTACCTTCTATTGGAACAGGCATATAATCCCAACCTGAATGGCTCATGCCACCAGCCGACAAATATTATTCCCTTGTCACCCGGGGACCACAGGGCCTGGCCAGGGAAGCAAAACCAAAGTATTAGCATGTGAGATTTTGAGCACTAAGTGCTAAACTATGTTATGTCCCACAATCTTCCTCCATAATCTGAAGGATGCTGCGCAGGAGATCTGATTCTTCAAAAAGATCATCTACTAGGAGTTGATCCAATCCTTGGAACTGCTATTTGGTAGTTAACTCTCCAATTACTCTCTCCCTCTGTTAGAAATTCTTGGGAGGAAATAATCCTGCAAATACATTTTTTTCCAACAGATTCCTGCTGCCATTCCGTGTTTCAGCTAAACTTGCATGAAAGGCCAAGACACCATCCAGCAGTGAAAACAGTAGCAATACAGTTGAACTGAGCACAGTATAAATGTCAGACTAAGTACTGAATAACAGTTTTCAAACAGTGTTTCAAGCTGTTTTAAAGGAAATGCAATTACATGGCTTCAGGCTTCTAACTTCCTACTAAAAATCTAAGCCAATTAAATTTCCTCCTATTTTTTCCCCTTTAAAGGAAAAGCTGGAAGAAAACAGAATGAATGGTTTTAAAAATCATGCTAGTATTATGCCTCATAAATAGAATTTTACACAATTTCAAACAATGTAGATTTACATTTTATTTCCAAAATTTCTGATTCCCCCCTCCCATTTTTTTCTGACCACAAATGTTTTATGATTGATAGTTAAGAATGATCCATCTGGAAGTAGCAGCATAAGGGGGGGGGTGAGTTAATATGACAACATCTTGCCCCAGATTAACAAATACATTTATAAGAAATATTTTCTATCTAATGCAAAGTTATCCTTGCATACTCATAGCATCTGTTATAAGGTCACTGAATATTACCTATTCAAAGTATACAAGTAATGTATAGAAACTGCATTTACAAAAGAGGCAAACACATCAAGGGCCATGTTAAAGTTCAACTGAACAGAACATTTTCCAAAACTCACCTTAGCCTCCCATCCTGAATAAATATGTTTTATATATGCTTCTGCAAACAAAAATACCCAATGTAATGCTTCTTAAGTGGAGACCTGAGGTATTGTTTTTGTCTTCTTCCCAATTTAACTTACCAGGCTGCATTATACTAACCTGCCCAGGGGAGAGGTGCCCTGGGATGTCTTGTAGCACTGAAACCTCAGTGGTTTCAATATTCAACACACATAATACAGGAGCACTTTTGTCACCCAGTGCCTCTCCCCAGTTGTCATTGTACACAAACCGCTCATTCTAGAATGTAATCAAATAAATAAGTATTTTAGAGAGCTATGTATCTGCATTCTTTCACAAGATAGACCGAATATAAATACTACTACAATTGTGTAAGGATTGAATGGTGACATCACCATTGCCTGGGGGCCTATCAAAGTGGTACCCATCTATCTATTTGTCACCTACTTTCGAACTGCTAGGTCAATAGGAGCTGGAGCATGTGACAGGAGCTTACCCCATCTCATGATAACAACCGGGTCTCAAACATGGACCTGCCGATTGTCAGCCCAGTGTCCTATCCTCATGAGCATTCCTTTTATTGAATATAAATTACAGCCCCCTCCCCCACGAGGCTTGTTGAATCACACTAGTAAGTCTGAGTAGTGATAACATTTGAAATCTAAAATTTGCAAACTGTTTGCTAGGAACTGAACCCAATGATGCAATGCAATGATGAATTTTGTACAATTTTTCTTGAGCTTATATTTGCGTACAGGTAAATATAAATTCAACATGCAATGGGCCAAAAGTAAGGATTTATTATGTCCTCTTTACAGTAAACAGTACTTTGATCAAACCATGCATGACTTGGAAGCTGCAACTGGGAACAAAATACAGGGGTAATATTGCTAAGCAGGTCAACCTATCTGCTGCCTATTTTGAAGTTGCTGCATTGGTTGCTAATAACCTCTTGTACCATAAGATGCTTGACATAGTTCTGTTATTTGAATAAATACAAAGAAAGGAAAAACTCTATGGCTTTCTTTATTTACCTCCTGTCCTTCAGTGAATTCCTCTTGAGAGAAAAAATGTTGTTTTGGAGAGTGCTTTCTTTCTGCAACATACACAATCTGCGTTTCTGAGCTGGACCAAGCAAAGCATCGAAACTGCTCTGTGGTAGGACAGAAACAGGAAATAACATTTGTAGGTAGAGTACAAGTTTGCAGAATCACCTGACCAAACTAAAAAGGCTAGCTGAACTTACATGCTGATTGTAAACTGTGGGTCACAGGTTGCCTGAATGGGTATGTTTTCTAAAGCCACTAAAGGGAATGAACTTTTGACTCCTAGTTCATATATTATATCTAAGTCCTAATGTGGTTTGTTTAATTTGCCCTTAGCTGATCTAACCATTGTGCCTTGTGAATCAAGGATTGTGCATTAACACAATGTATAAATTTAGCCAGTAAAATGAAAAAATTATGGCTTACCATACTGTGTGAGTGTTTACTGTAATCCTCTTCACAATTTTAAAATTGAGAAGTATGGTAGAAGCAATACGCAGTATACTTATCAAAACAACAGGATCCAAATGATCATTTTGTTGTTTATTGGTAGAGTGAGTTATTGGACTTTTTTTTGGGGGGGGGCAATAGCCCAGAATAAAGTTTCCAGGATTATATATAGGTTACAAGCATTTAAAATGGATTATGTGCATTATGCCCTTTAGAAGGCAATTACATAGGCAACTATTTATCAACACCGCTGGAGATAAGAAATTAGCTGAGATTGGAATATTTTTAATGACTAGATACAAAGTTCAACTTATTTCTTTGTCATGGCAGGAACTGTTGTGATAATAGTATGTTTCAATTGTCACTTGTCCTTGAGGTATCAGATCTTCTTGGTTACCTGCATCAAAAGGGTACCCACTTTTGCTGTGTTTAGCACTACTTTATAGAATTTTAAGCATTTTAGGTTGATTTGAAGCTAAAGCATGTGATTAAACCAAGTTACAGCTACCACTTATCACAAAGGGATTTTTCTCAGATTGCAAGTGCATTTGCTTTACATACTAGAAATGTTTTTCCAAGGAAATAGTATATAATGATGTTTCAAATAAAGCAAGTAAATAGAACAATTCCAAATGATAACAGTTCTTACTATCATTAAAAGATTACGGTTGTTTCACTTAATTCTAGTATATTGTTGATAAAGACAAAGGGTAACCAAGGTTGAAAATTACCATGCTCTTATACAACTATTGTAATTTATGTTATATTGTGACTTTTATGAGAAAAAGTCTGCTTCAACAAACAGACAATTTTGCGCAAATGTTTCGTGCATGTCTTATTTTAAAGAACTTGGGATTTTGTTAACTGAAGGTAGCATGTTCAGTAAAGTCAGAGAAGAAATCTCAAGTACAATAGCTTGGCTTTTGCGGGCTTACATTCCAAACTGTGGTTTATAACATTAAAGTTGTAAATATAATCATAGGGCCAGTCTATCTTGTGGTGATAAAAACACTGTTGACATTTCTTTTTAATTAGAGTTTCACCATTCCATTTTTTAAAGAAGCAGCTGCTACTTCTCAACTACTGCTTTATTTCTTTGACACTAGCAATAATAATATTGAATATATATTTTCTGTGGCTACAGGAAAAGAAAAGTCCTGTGTAAGGAACTTATGGATAAAGTAATAAATTACTGAAAGAAAATTGGTGTTTAATGAGGAGACTGGAATGGACTAATTTGAGAAAGGAGAGAACCTTTGAGAAAGTTATTAAATATTTGGAATTGAGCAGTAGAAGACAAATTTGAAAGTAAACTATGTATTTACCTGTAATTGATAAAATGTATAAAATTTTACTGGAATTTGAAGTAGAACAAGTGAAAGACTGTATGATAAAATGTACTAAGAACGCTGGACACAATATACACACAGTGAGAAAATATGTGGTTAAATGAACTAAGATTTACATTTTGTTATAATCTAAAGAAGATTATTTTATAAAATGATGTACCATTGACATATAACTCTAGGAAAATTGTCTAAACTATATGAAGCTACTTCAAATTTATGTTAAAAATGTGGACAATGAAGGATCATTTCATTGTGCCTGGTAGATTTCTAAAAAAGACAGAAATTTTTGTGCTGAAATATATATGATACAAAAGAATGTAAAGATCAACATTCAATCAAAACCAGAACTTTTCTTTCTTTCTTGGACTAATGGATAATCAATTGGAAAACAGCCTTGGAAGTTTTTAAAAAAAATATAATTACTGATAGGAGACTAGACTCTTAAATATCCACAACAAAGGAATAGTTGGTGAAGATGAACTAGCAGAGATGGGAAAATTAAGTTGTTTGACTGAAGGATGAGCAATACTATATCAGTGTATGGAAACCGACAGATGACAGAGACAAGGTTGCTTTCACCAGTGGCTGACCATTCAACCCTGGGTAATCCGTTTCACTTCTAGGCACCCCACCTTCTGGACTAGGGACTGGCCTGAAGCGCTAGAGAAATTCCAAAAGCTTAACTGACCCCCAGCAACCTTCTATAATTTATCAACCATCTATTGATCCTCCCTGACTTTCATTGGCCCCCTTTTGATCTTCAGACATTTATCAATCCCTTGGATAGTCTCATTGACTCTTGGGGATCAATACTGACCACTTTGGGGAACCCTGGCCTAGACCTATACTTGCTGTTAAAAAAAATTAACCTCCATAGTCAAGGACACTTGTGTTTCACAAAACATAGTACTGCAGCCTGATTAACACAATCAATTTGACAAAGCAACAGGAAAGTATGGGTGATATTCATGGCAGGATGTCACCCAACATCTGCCACCAAGATTTGAAAGCCTGCAATCTCCAGGCTGCAATAGCCAGCAAAGCTCTTTACAAAGACCACCATCTGCAGAAAAGGCAAGAAAAAAGAAAGTATATAATACTAGACAGCTAGGAGGACTTCATTCTGGCACTGGGAAAGGGAGGTTAGTAGGAAGAAGGCGCATGATCAAGGGCTATGTTGGTAGAGTGCAGAGCTCACAGGGCTGAGGAAGCACCATCGCTAAGCCTGCAGAGAGCAGCATGCGGCCAAGCCTACTGTTACTGCCCTTACCATCTGTGTACACTTTGCCATGTTTATCCAGCGCTGTGAGATTGATATTTCTTACCCTCCCACTGTTGCTCCAAACCTGCTGGGACACAGAAATCAGTACAGGGCAAAATCTGCCACCACACACTGCGGCCAAAGAATCAACAGGCTCATCAGAATTCCTCTTCCTTGTTCTTCTGTTACAACTGTTACAACTTTGAATTATGAGGAGCTCCGAGGAAACAAAGGATGACTGTGAATTACACAGAGCTACTTTCTCTATTAAGATCTGTAACTCTAGGTCTCTTGGGTAAAACAATTATCATTCATAGTGGGACAAGCATGATTTATATGCCCAGCACATTACTGCAAAGGACCAGTTTCCATATATATTTGACCCTAGCTATGCTAACTCCTTTTACAAATGTCTTTAGATCTAAGTCCGGCACCTAAAGTATAAGGTTTAATGAACAAATATTTTATTTGTCCTTATTGATTCTCCTGAGTCCGTATCTTACTTTTATGTTGTAGCTAAGGCTGCCATATCTGTATCAGTCAGTTTCAGCATGCAGCATTTTCAGTGCTATCCTTGCTCTCTTTAGAGGTAAGGAGAAACAGTCGTGAATAGCATATACTTTACCTCCAGGACCTCCTGTTTCTGCCCCGATTCCAAATAATGGGTGAGAATAGCTTTATATTTCCCAGTAGGAGACATTCCAATCAGCAGCCTATATTACAAGAGAAAAGGGGGCGCAGCATAAGCAGGAGAGCCAACTTGGAAGCAATTTACAAGAAAAACCTAGAGGTAAGTTTATTTCTTTCTAACTACTTCAGGGATCCACAGGGAAGAGAATTCAAGACTGCAGTGGTTAGACTGAGCATTGAAGTATACTTCAGGTGACTGCTAGCTGCAGTTCGGCAGTTCAAATCTCATCAGGCTCAAGGTTGACTCAGCCTTCCATCCTTCCGAGGTGGGAGGACCCAGATTGTTGGGGGCAATATGCTGACTCTGTAAACCGCTTAGAGAGGGCTGTAAAAGCACTATAGGTAAGTCTAAGTACTATTGCTATTGATGCCTATGCAATCCTACTGCCCGTACTAACTCTGGCCAAAGAATTTCAGGTAGCTGTGGAAGCCTTTTGCCCTCAACCTGAATGAAGTATAATCAGTAGGAATTGGACCGGTGCAACATGAAACTAAGTGTGCATGCAGCTAATGGCAGGGAGAAATAAGACCTTGGAACTCTTTATCACCCATCTTCAAGATTAAGGAAAGCTAATTATCCGTACTGCAGTAACTATTCTACTGCATACCTGGTTAAGCATAAACTAAATGGTGGCCAAGGTATTTTAGGGACTACCTTACTTCCACTGTTTCTATTCACCCCAGGAAATCAGGTAGGAGGAGAATGCTCTGGGTATTTTTAGTCTTTATCAGCTAACCAGAGTGGCATTTGTGAGATGGGTGATCATATATATTGATTTAAATCAGTGGTAGTCAACCTTGTCCCTACCGCCCACTAGTGGGCGTTTCAGCTTTCATGATGGGCGGTAGGGGTTTGCTGTAACTCTGCTTTATAAAGTAAAGTTACTTCCCTACTTTATAAATCACCATTACTGTGGAACCAGTGGGCGGTTAGAAAATTTTACTACTAACAGAGATACAAAAGTGGGTGGTAGGTATAAAAAGGTTGACTACCCCTGATTTAAATAAAATAAGCTGGGTAAAAACTTCTAAAGCCTGACATTTACATGAAGAAACATAGATATTTTACGTACTGATTGTGAACCTCAGCTGGCATACCAACGGGAGTAACAGAAACAATTTCTCTGCCATCGTGGTGAAGGATATACTGGCGACTGAACCTCAGTTTCTGATGGCGCTCCAGATCTGTGTGGCGCCACTCTGCAGAAAAGGAGAAAGTTGAGTGAGAAAGCTGATGCTTGCCCAGGTCTTTGGTATATAATATCGTTGTCTTTGAAATGACTAATATTTTACACTTCAATTTTTGGGGAGGTTAAAATTTATATTTAAAACGTAATGTGATAGCCTACTTAGAAATACAGTGTATCCCCGAAAATAAGACAGGGTCTTATTTTCTTTTGACCCCTGAATTAAGCACTTGGCCTTATTTTCGGGGAGGTCTTATTATTTTTGATGTGCAGGAGGTGGTGAGTGTGGTCACCTCATGGCTGCTGCTGCTGCTGTATTTCAATATTTTGGGGGGAGGGATTATTTTCACGCATGTGCTCAAAAGCTCGATTGGACTTATTATCCGGTGAACTCTTATTTTCAGGGAAACAAGGTATGACATAGTTTTGACTGATGCTGTGCCACCAAATCAGTGTTGGCTCAGTGAACACATCAATGGGACGAGTTCCCTTCCCCCCCTTGAATTGTGTGACTGTTGATTGTCTTTTTAAATTCTCTTTGTATTTCGTTTGTTATATTACCTTCTTGTTTTACCCACACACCCCTTTTGGGTTTGTTAGCCGCCCTGAGTCCCTCAGGGAATAGGGTGGCATATAAATGCAATAAACCTTAAACCTTAAACCTTCTCCAGAAGGTGCTGTCCCCAAAAGGTCTTCCAATGGTGTGTCAATTGACACTACAATTTGACCTTTATTAGATACCTTTTCTCTTTTGATATCTCTCATAACTCAAATGAAAGAGAGAAGCAAGTCAGGCTAGTCTGATATTGTTCTTCTATGAGCTGTCAGGCAATTGCTCTTGTTGTCTTGGTTGTGATAGAAGTTCAGACAAGAAGCTATACTGTTCCATATTTAACAAGCTTTGATCAGAACTCTAAAACTCAATTTCTTTAGAGCCTGGAGCATTTAGTCTTAAACACTTAAACACAAATGAACAGTAAAGTGATTATGTGCCATCTAGTCATTTTTTGTGTTCCAATGATTACGTAGATAGATCTTTTCCATGAAGGTTTATCCTTAACCTGGTCTATCAAGTCTCCCACAATGCACTCATTGCCACTATAACTGACCCCACCCATTGCTTATTGTCTGCTTCTTCTCTTTCCTTCCACCTAACCAGAAAGCTGGGTCTTTGCATATATAATCCTAAATAGGATAATTTGAGCATGATCATTTGTGCCTCCAGTAAGAACTCTGGGCTGAGTTGTTCCGTTTGATCCATTAGTTTTTTTTTCTTGGCTGCCCATGGTATTCTTCTGCAACACCAAGGTTCAAGGGGATCAGTATTCTTCCTAACCTGCTTCTTTAAAGTCCAATTTTTCATAGATGTCACAGTCTGCACAATTCTGAACTCTGTAGGTATACACGTTTTAGCACTTGATTATCTTTTCCAAGACCTTCATGGCTGCAGTACCAAATGCTAACCTGTAGTCTACTTTTTGACTGATTGTTCCTTTGACAGTTGAGCTTAAAAGGCAGAAGCTCTCTACTACCACTTTGATACCTTCATTGTCAATTGTAGGACTGTTATTCCACCTGTTGGCATTAGTTTGCTCTTCTTTATATTGAATTTTAATGCCATTATTTCACTGTGCTCTTTTACTTTTAATGTTGGGACTTGTAGATTCAAGCTAGTAGGGTTATTAGTGGATTTGTCAAAACAAAATTAACACTGGAAATATGCCTAATTTTATTTTAGCATTCAATTGCACTCAGAATTCCACCCCCTCTAAGACTCCATCATCCCCAATCACAATGTACAGAAGACTAAACAAAGTTTCTCCAATTGGTACACTATACATCAGTTTGTGCCAGCCCATTTCCCCATGTTTGCAAAATGCAAAAAGTACTTCAAACGCTACCTCATTTGTGGGTAGTTGAAGAAGCTGGCAAACCAAGAGAACTTGAAAGTAACCCTGTTGCCTTCCTAACATAAACTACAGGTAGTCCTTGACTTATGACCACAATTGAGCCCACAATTTCTAAAAGTTGCTAGGTGAGACATTTATTAAGTGAATTCTGCCCCAATGTAGACCTTTCTCACTGCTGTTAAGTGAATCACTGCAATTGTTAAGTTAAATGAATCTGGCTTCCCCATTGAGATTGCTTGCCAGAAGGTTGCTAAAGGTGATCACATGACCCTGGGACATTGCAATCCAATCATAAAAATGAATCAGTTGCAGAGTCTCTCAGTTTTGATCATGTGACCATGGGGACGCTGCAATGAAAAATGGTCATACATCACATTTCCCCCCAGGTGCCGTTATGACTTTGAACGGCCACTAAACGAATTGCTGTAATTCGAGGGACCCCCCTGTACACTCTGAGGGCCAGGACCGGCTGAAACAGGGATTCCAGGGAAGTGGCTCACCCGTGTAGAGGGGCAGGCACTTGGCGCCACGGGCAGCAACCTCGGGTCCGACGCTGGCATAAGTCACCGACGGAAAGCGGCTGACTTCTTGGTAGACGGTCCCGATTCGGCCGGACAGCTGGAGAGAGAGCGATAGAGAGCAAGCGAGTGACCAAGGCAGCAGCGATGAGTTGAGGGCGCCTCCTTAGGAGCCGCTTCCCCGTTTCTTCTTCGCCATCCGGGGACGCAGCGGGGCCAGTTCTGCCTCCCTCCCTCCCTTCCCTTTACACTCCTAGCCTCAAAGTCGCCCTACCGCTTCTCTCGCGTTTTCCGAGCTTCGCGCCATCCTCTTCTCCCGCCGCCCGAAAACCTGCCCGAGCCCCGGCAGAGCAAAAAGCAGGTGCGGATATTAGGTGCGTCCGCTCAGCTTCGGAAAGGCCGACGCTGCAGTAGAACAGCGGGCGCGAGATAAGGAATAGCCGCGGTGATTGGCTCGGCCGGATGACAAAAGGCGGGACCAGCCTCGTCTCGCCCGTCTTCCTCACAGCCCGGCGGGGGGCAGAAGCTTCGGCTTCCTGCGCTTCAAGCCCCTGAGAAGGCTGCGCGTGGCTTTCCCCCCTCCGGTGTTTCTTCTTCTCCTGCTGGCGTCCAACTTAAAACGCCCAAGTCCGGCTTATTTTGCTTCCCGGGCTCATTCAGGCAATTCGCCCATCAGCTGTCAAAACAGCAAAACGTGGGGATAGGGAAGAGGGCGCGCCGGGCTTGACAGGCGAAGGGAAGGCGGACAGGAAAAGCAGAGTTATTTTCGGCTGGCGGGTATATTGTAGCATGAAATGCTATGTATATATGTATCATGTTATGATGCTCCAGTGTCATGCGAACCTAAAAAGCTGAAGCGGAATGAATTGACTGCGGGACGAAGCGGCGGTGTGCAAGCACGCAACGTAGTTTTTGCCAAAGTAGGGAAAATAAATAAGTAAAGTAGGCATGCTAACAACAACAAAAAGAAACCCTAAGGAGTAGGGCCACCATAAATGATGAAAAACCAGCATTTATTCTACTAAGGAAATCGAACTTTTTTTTTTTTTTTTGCTTTTCCTCTTTGAGCTGATTTTCATGCCAGCTGCTTACAGATGAATACTAGCCAGGTTACAAGAATCAGGTATTATCACAGTATCAGAATAAGCTTTTATTCCCCCTTTGTCTTTTTCACCCAGTTATCCCTTCCTCTTGTGTCTTCCTAGGCAAAGATTCTCTGGATTCATTTATAAAAGCAGTTCAAATGTTTTTTTTCTGGCAGAAGAGAAAGACTTTCAGCATTGAGGCTAGAGGCTAAATTCCCTTATGGGGAATATAACCTGTTTATATTCTATTATAAAGAATATCAACATGCATATCCTTTATCCATGCTAATTTTTTGATCAAAAGAAACTGTTGTGGCCGGTCAGCCGCTGGTCCCTCCAGAAGCAGAATCAAAGGAGGCAGCGGCTTGGGAGTCAGGGGCAGCATCAAGGCAATCTGAAAGCTCCGAGGGACAAGAGGGAATGGAGCTGTCAGAGACAGAGGTGAGTGTGGGCCATTCATCAGCCCTCAGATGGAGAGTCAACACTCACCATATCTGGACGTAGCTGATGAGGAAGAGGAGGAAGAGCTGAGTCCAGTGAGTGCCTGGCATGTGGATGTGCAGGAGGCAGAGGAGAGGAGAGCAGTGGAAATCTATGGACTGATCCTTGGGATGGAAGAGCCACTGCTGCTAGCGAAGCCCCACCCTAGTTCTAGGGATAAAAGGCAGGGGGCAGAGATGAATAGGTGTGGCAGACTACTATTCATCTCCCTGCTGGACAGACTTGTTAGTCTGCTGTGAAAGAGACTTTTGCTGGGGCTGCTGCGACTCCCAATAAAGCAATCATTAATTTAACTAGAGGGTTTGTCGTGTTTGGGAGCCAAGTCAGAACAGAATCCTTGTGTATCTGTGCATTTGAATACAGTAGTTGACTTACATCCAGATGCTTAGTGAGCATTTGAATTTACAATGGTGGTCCCCCAAAAGTACCGAATTCTGAAATTCACTCATATACCAGTCACAGGACTATGTTAGATACTTGGCAAACAGTCTGCATGCATGGCCATTTTCAGCATCCTATGGTCACATGACTGCATTTTAGGATATTTTTGCTGAAAACCAAGATTTATTTTGTTTTCATCAAAAATGGCCCTTAGTGAACAATGTGTTTACTACTACTGAGTTCACGTAATGACCATTGCAAAAAAAAAGCCATAAAACCAGGCATGATCATGTGGTGAACTACTTTACTACTGTCACAACTTACTTGATAGGCAACTTCTCGCTCCTTCAGTTGTAAATTGAGAATCATCTTGGGCAAGCTCCAGTATGATTGTAGGTTGAGGACAACCTTGCATTATATGTGCTATATGTGTATGAGATATACAGATTCACCCAGCTAGATTGGCAACGCTAACACCACCATGCAAATCTCCTTCAATACATTTGCTTTTGCAGGAAAATGGTGGTGCAGTAATTAGAAAGCAGTATTGCAGGTTAACTCTGCTGACTGCCAGCAGTTCGATTTTGACCAGCTCAAGGTTGACTCAACCTTCCATCCTTCTGAAGTGAGTAAAATGAGGATCCAGATTGTTGGGGGCAATATGCTGACTCTGTAAACTGCTTAGAAAGAGCTGTAAAGCACTGAAGCGGTATATAAGTCTAAGTGTTATTGTTATTGCTAATCAGGGACCAGGAAATATTCAGTTCTGAAGGCAAGTGGCAAAGATGAAGTGGTTATTTCAATAAAAATGTCAACAAAATTTCATTTATAGCACATTCTTACAACCCATGGCCTGTAATACATTACTCAGTGCAGCATCACTATAAACCAAAAATAAAGCAGTGCAGTGTGAAACAAAACACAGGAGATTGAAGTCCTTGTTCAAATCACTGGTCTTTGTTAAATCAGAAGCTATCCTATGATGGAGTATATTTTAATTTAACCATTCTTCCAGATGGGAAAAGATAACATTTTATAAATAGGACAAGTAACAGGTTATTTTCTCAATTAGGTTTCTTTAATTCTTCTTCTGTGAACAAAGATGTGTGATGTCCTATTTCATGTGAGAACAAATAGCAGGCATATTCCAGAGTTAATTAAACTGTTATAAAGGCTTATTACTAGATACTTGTGCACAGACGGCAGTGACAGTAATTCTTTGGTCTGGTAGTGAATTATTTTTATTTCCTAGACAACTCTTAACATGTTGTGACTTATTACTACAGCTATTAAAGTTCACTGTCAAACAGATTCAGAGAATCAAATTTGGAAGGAACCAAAGAAGTCATCTAGTCCAATCCACGAAGTCTTGGATTCACGATAGCATGTGTGATAGATGAGCTTCCAACTACTGCTTGAATACATTAGTGAAGAACTTACCACTGGCTGAAAAGTAAGGAAATTCTTCCTGGTGTCTAGCCTGAACCTGCTTCACTGTAATTTTAACTTTTGGTTCTGCACTGCCCTCTGGGGAAACAGTATAAATCAATTCCCTCATCTATGAAACAACTCTTCAGATATCTGATGATTGCTATCATATCTTCCTGTAGCTGTATTTCTGTAGGCTAAACATGTTTTCCAATTCATTCACCATCTTGGTAGTCCTCCTCTGAACTTGCTTCTACATTATTGTGCTGTTCCAAATATGGTGCTTCAAACTGGACCCAGTTCTCCCAAAGGGTTTTGACAAGGGCAGAGTGGAGTGGAACAATTACTTTCTATGATCTGGACTGTGTTCCTGTTAACACACTCTGAAATAACATTTGCCTTTTTAGTAGCTGCATCACACTGCTGGCTTTGTTTAACTTGTGGTCAACAATACCCAGATTCTTTTCATATACACATCACCAGGTTTCTCCAATCCAAGCCATCAAGAAACTTAATTTTGTAAAGCATAATTTCATTCTTTAAATTTCAAGTTAATGATTTTACATCACTTCTTCAAAATACTGCATTCCAGTCATTCCCAGTCTAAGTTTAAACTAGACAATTAATTTATAGAAATTAATAAGATTACTCCAAGAATATATTCTGCAGCTTGATTTCTGAAATTCATTCTTTTCAGTTTAGCGCCAATCATTTAAATGAAATTACAGAAAGTCTAATACCATCTAATGGGAATATTTATCAGTGCTCTAGTACTTGACCATTCTGCATAGTTATCATGGTGATATTGTTGATAAAATGCTAAATTTGGCAAAATGATATATTTGGCCAGCGTAGCCTCTCTCTCTAGCACAATTGAGAGGCCCAGAGGATGATGTCCACATGGTTATGTGCCTGTTCACATTTTGGAGTGTAGGGATAAAAGTACCAATCAGCTACTAGAAGGTCTTTCAAACTGAGGAGACTTGACTTTCTGTTAGCTGACCTCAACCCAAAAGCGTAAGCTTCTGTAATGGTTATTTCAAGTGTTGGAGGAGCCAGAGTGCAATATTCATGAAACCGTCTGCCTCAGCCTCCACACTGGATAGTGCATGATTATCATTCGGATACTGCAACATCCTAGAAATATGAAGAGACAGAGGCATCAGCTAATATACAATTACTTTGCTGACATTTTCCTTCTTATCATCATTTCAACCCCATCTTCTGCCTAGATTATCATTTTATTTTAACCCCCCCCCCCCAGTTGCATATATTTCTGTTTTTTCCTCTTATTTCATAAAGTTGCATGTTTTCCTGGTTTTCTCTTGTAGACCCCCCAGTTTCTTCAATTCTACCCAAGAGGCTTACCGGGTTGGAATACCCCTGGACCTAAGTGCATGGTAATACTCCAAGCCTTGCTTGGGGGGGACACGTCTATCTTCTTCTCCAATCAACAGGAGAACTGGTGCTTGAACCTAAGGGAAAGAAAATAAGGTGGCAATCAAAATATTGAAAATAAGAAAAAAATATGAGGATCTGAGAGTAATGGATAAACAAAAAGGGAAGGAAAGATCTATTGTACCTTGTCAACAAACTGCATAGGTGAATGAAGCAGCATCTTTTCCCATTGTTCAGGAACTGGGAGAGCAGCTTGGTCATAGGGTAGCCCGATCTCAGTCATGCACCTAGAAGAAGCCACAGAGCAGGCATCAGTAAAGACAGCATCTGCTCAAAAGGGGGAACATAGTTTTACATAAATATTCACCAATCAGGGATATCCGTGCTTCCAAACATGGATGCCATATTAACTACAGGATTCCTGGTCACACAGGCTTTATAAGTGCCAGGATATTGGCCAATCAGATGACAAGATAAGAAGCCTCCATGAGATCCTCCAAGCAAAGCTACTCTGTTTGAATCCAGAGGTTCTTTCTGTAGCATCTGCTCTACACAGGACTACAAGGAAAAGAAAAGGTTTACAATTACTGAGGGAGCAAGGATAACATCTTGAATATACATGTGGACAAAGCAAATCCAAATGTTTAGCTGAGTTCTGATAGGACTGTGATTAGGTCATCGCAATGTATACCTTGAAAAGTACAAACTACATTTGGATAGACCAGGGGTCAGCAACCCGCGGCTCTGGATCCGCATGTGGCTCTTTCATCCCTCTGCTGGGGCTACCTGTCGCCACCACAATTTTGAGAGGAGCTTCCGGTTAGGGGGAGGGAAGCAGGGCATGCCAGGAGGAGACTCTATGGCAAGAGGTGGGTTTTCCGGTCAGCTCCACAATTGATAGGGCTTTCGATTAGGACAGGTAGAGGAAAAGGGAAGCCACGCTAGAAGTAGACTTTATGGTGGGGGGACCGGACTTCTAGTTGATTCCAGAATTGAATGGGGTGCTTCTGGTTAGGATCTTTGTGGCTCTTTGAGTGTTTAAGGTTGCCGACTCCTGGGATAGACCCTTGTGTTAAAGTTTCCCATTCTTGTATATATAAGAACAAATATATTACACACATCTCTAAAGGAGGTATAGTCTCCCAAGAACTTCACACTTATTCTACTGAGAGTTTGATCTGGCAAGGGAATATAATCAGCCATTCTCTTTGGTAACAGTTGAATCCCCTTGCTACACTAAATATCTACATTTCTCCACGTAGTGAAGGTTTCAAACACTTGTTGGAAACGGAGGAAGGGACTTTCTTACCTGCACATCTTTGACATCCTGGCAGCCCACATTTCCTGGTAGTGAATCCACACTATCCTGGCCAAAGCCTAAAGATCCTCGGTAATTCACTTAAAGGGAGAGAAAGCACAATATTAAGGTAGCCAACCTTTCTCTGGTTTCAAATTTATTTGTCTTAGTAAGATTTCACTACATTGAATAATGCCTCCAACAATGTTAGAAGTTCTGGATTTTACTATTGGAATTAGCCTTGACATAGCTCCAGTATCAAAAGACTCCAGCTTCTTGTGAATATGATTGTGTGGCTGAGACTACTAAGAGATTATGCCCATACACATCTGGAAGCACAAGATTGGGGAAGTTTGTCTTTCTAAAATAATGTCCATGTCAAGAGTTCTGAACTGACTATTACAGCACTATAATTTATCTCTGCTTGCGTAAGTACCCTGATGGCTGCCCAGGCATATATCTCTTATGCCAGATGACCCAGCAGACATCTTGGTGTCTGAAAGAGATTATTACTCACCCAACAGCACAGCAAATCCCATTCGACAGAGCACTGCTGGATACAGCATCCAGGTAGTGGTGAACACTGAATGCGGGCCTCCTTTCAAGAAAAATAATGGAGTCGAGCTCATATGAATGGTGAGGGAATGACACTATACAGGACCAGGATGAGGGAAGGGAACAAGACAAGCAACTTACCATGTGGTGACACCACTAATGGAAGTTTGGTTTGCTCTGCTACCTGAGTGGGCTTTAGTAGTATAGCTTCAAAATCTAGGCCTCCTGGGAATACAGGAAATAATTTGCAGGTTAAGGAAAAATCACTATCAGTCTTCCAAGTTTTTTCTGTAGAAAGGCAACTCATATTGAAGCATAAAAATAACAAATGGTTAAATTGGTCCAAAATTTCCTTTCAGGATACTCACGGTACTGGGGATTGTCTTGATCCGGAGAAGGTTGAAGAATATGGACATCCCAACTAATACCTTGAATTGGGCTGGTTTCTTCTAGACATACCCAGTTCACGTCTGCTTCCTTGCCTGCAGGAGGCAGAAAAGCTACCATCTGCAGCAAGATAAATTATTAAAAAGAGATATCCAGCATTAAATCCTATTTTGTTTGATCAATAATTTTTAAAATTGTATTGTTAATATTAATTGGGTTTGTTTTTGGATACTTTATTTAATTTCCTTTTTAACTTTTGTAATATGTTATTTTTTTAAATGTTGTATGCCGCCCTGAGTCCTTTGCGAGAAGGGTGTCATATAATCCCAATAAACAAACAAACAAACAATCAATAATATTTGGATATGCAAACTTCAAACCGATGTTGGGTGGAAAACACTTAAGCATGACACTGAAGCTCAAGGATTTCCAACATAGGCCACACAGAACTTACAAGCATAGGAGGAGAGTTAGGAGTGGAGAATCTGGCCNGTTTCAGCTTTCATGATGGGCGGTAGGGGTTTGCTGTAACTCTGCTTTATAAAGTAAAGTTACTTCCCTACTTTATAAATCACCATTACTGTGGAACCAGTGGGCGGTTAGAAAATTTTACTACTAACAGAGATACAAAAGTGGGTGGTAGGTATAAAAAGGTTGACTACCCCTGATTTAAATAAAATAAGCTGGGTAAAAACTTCTAAAGCCTGACATTTACATGAAGAAACATAGATATTTTACGTACTGATTGTGAACCTCAGCTGGCATACCAACGGGAGTAACAGAAACAATTTCTCTGCCATCGTGGTGAAGGATATACTGGCGACTGAACCTCAGTTTCTGATGGCGCTCCAGATCTGTGTGGCGCCACTCTGCAGAAAAGGAGAAAGTTGAGTGAGAAAGCTGATGCTTGCCCAGGTCTTTGGTATATAATATCGTTGTCTTTGAAATGACTAATATTTTACACTTCAATTTTTGGGGAGGTTAAAATTTATATTTAAAACGTAATGTGATAGCCTACTTAGAAATACAGTGTATCCCCGAAAATAAGACAGGGTCTTATTTTCTTTTGACCCCTGAATTAAGCACTTGGCCTTATTTTCGGGGAGGTCTTATTATTTTTGATGTGCAGGAGGTGGTGAGTGTGGTCACCTCATGGCTGCTGCTGCTGCTGTATTTCAATATTTTGGGGGGAGGGATTATTTTCACGCATGTGCTCAAAAGCTCGATTGGACTTATTATCCGGTGAACTCTTATTTTCAGGGAAACAAGGTATGACATAGTTTTGACTGATGCTGTGCCACCAAATCAGTGTTGGCTCAGTGAACACATCAATGGGACGAGTTCCCTTCCCCCCCTCGAATTGTGTGACTGTTGATTGTCTTTTTAAATTCTCTTTGTATTTCGTTTGTTATATTACCTTCTTGTTTTACCCACACACCCCTTTTGGGTTTGTTAGCCGCCCTGAGTCCCTCAGGGAATAGGGTGGCATATAAATGCAATAAACCTTAAACCTTAAACCTTCTCCAGAAGGTGCTGTCCCCAAAAGGTCTTCCAATGGTGTGTCAATTGACACTACAATTTGACCTTTATTAGATACCTTTTCTCTTTTGATATCTCTCATAACTCAAATGAAAGAGAGAAGCAAGTCAGGCTAGTCTGATATTGTTCTTCTATGAGCTGTCAGGCAATTGCTCTTGTTGTCTTGGTTGTGATAGAAGTTCAGACAAGAAGCTATACTGTTCCATATTTAACAAGCTTTGATCAGAACTCTAAAACTCAATTTCTTTAGAGCCTGGAGCATTTAGTCTTAAACACTTAAACACAAATGAACAGTAAAGTGATTATGTGCCATCTAGTCATTTTTTGTGTTCCAATGATTACGTAGATAGATCTTTTCCATGAAGGTTTATCCTTAACCTGGTCTATCAAGTCTCCCACAATGCACTCATTGCCACTATAACTGACCCCACCCATTGCTTATTGTCTGCTTCTTCTCTTTCCTTCCACCTAACCAGAAAGCTGGGTCTTTGCATATATAATCCTAAATAGGATAATTTGAGCATGATCATTTGTGCCTCCAGTAAGAACTCTGGGCTGAGTTGTTCCGTTTGATCCATTAGTTTTTTTTTCTTGGCTGCCCATGGTATTCTTCTGCAACACCAAGGTTCAAGGGGATCAGTATTCTTCCTAACCTGCTTCTTTAAAGTCCAATTTTTCATAGATGTCACAGTCTGCACAATTCTGAACTCTGTAGGTATACACGTTTTAGCACTTGATTATCTTTTCCAAGACCTTCATGGCTGCAGTACCAAATGCTAACCTGTAGTCTACTTTTTGACTGATTGTTCCTTTGACAGTTGAGCTTAAAAGGCAGAAGCTCTCTACTACCACTTTGATACCTTCATTGTCAATTGTAGGACTGTTATTCCACCTGTTGGCATTAGTTTGCTCTTCTTTATATTGAATTTTAATGCCATTATTTCACTGTGCTCTTTTACTTTTAATGTTGGGACTTGTAGATTCAAGCTAGTAGGGTTATTAGTGGATTTGTCAAAACAAAATTAACACTGGAAATATGCCTAATTTTATTTTAGCATTCAATTGCACTCAGAATTCCACCCCCTCTAAGACTCCATCATCCCCAATCACAATGTACAGAAGACTAAACAAAGTTTCTCCAATTGGTACACTATACATCAGTTTGTGCCAGCCCATTTCCCCATGTTTGCAAAATGCAAAAAGTACTTCAAACGCTACCTCATTTGTGGGTAGTTGAAGAAGCTGGCAAACCAAGAGAACTTGAAAGTAACCCTGTTGCCTTCCTAACATAAACTACAGGTAGTCCTTGACTTATGACCACAATTGAGCCCACAATTTCTAAAAGTTGCTAGGTGAGACATTTATTAAGTGAATTCTGCCCCAATGTAGACCTTTCTCACTGCTGTTAAGTGAATCACTGCAATTGTTAAGTTAAATGAATCTGGCTTCCCCATTGAGATTGCTTGCCAGAAGGTTGCTAAAGGTGATCACATGACCCTGGGACATTGCAATCCAATCATAAAAATGAATCAGTTGCAGAGTCTCTCAGTTTTGATCATGTGACCATGGGGACGCTGCAATGAAAAATGGTCATACATCACATTTCCCCCCAGGTGCCGTTATGACTTTGAACGGCCACTAAACGAATTGCTGTAATTCGAGGGACCCCCCTGTACANCTTAGGGGAAAAAAGCAATATTTGCAATGAGTGAACAAGAAATACAACCCATCCCGTTGTCTGGGAATCTGATGGAGGAGATATAAGCTGCTATTTCCAGGAAGATAAGTTTCTCTCCCTCCCAAAGGATGAATCTTACATTATATAGCAGCTTTTATTTCTTCTGTTCAATTATATCTAATTCTCGGCGACTGCCTTGACAAGTCCCTGCAGTTTTCTTGGCAAGGTTTTTCAGAAATGCTTTGCCATTGCCACCTTTTTAGGCTTGAGAGAAAGTGACTAGCTCAAGTCACCCAGCTAGCTTTGTGCCCAAGGCAATACACCATCTAGAACTCACCATCTCCTGGTTTCTAGCATGATGCCTTAACCATTTCACCAAACTGGCTTTTTCTGAGGTAGTTTGTAGCATAGCAGTGGTGGGTTCCGGATTCCGTCGCAACCAATACGCTGCGACGGGGCCGGACATCCACCTCGGGAATGTGCACTGTGCACGCATGTGCACACCACAGCCCTGTGATGCCCCAGCTGCTTGGTGAGGTTGCCTAGGCGCCATACACTGTGCGCGCGTGCGCAATTGGCCCGTTTCCCTCAAAAGGAGGTAAGGAACGTGGGCAGGAGGGTGGGGCCACCAAAGCACCATTCCGGTACAGTGGCCGCTGCTCCCAGTGGCCACCGGTGCACCCGTACCGGGCCGTACCGCCCAGAACCCACCACTGTAGCATAGCTATTATATTCTTTGCAACAAGATATAGCAAGCATATATAAATTCAGTCATAATTAAGCTGCAGGTAATCACCCCCTCCCCCCATTCCAAGTGCTCTGTACTGACCTGACCAGGTGAGATATCGTCTGGAACACCTTCTAGCACGGAAACATTGCTGCTCTCAATGTCCAATACACACACTACAGGGATACTCTTAGCCACCAGAGTTTCCCCCCAGTCTTCATAAAATACAAACTGTTCTCCCTGAGAAAGGCAGAAAACAGCATAAAACTGAGGCATCCTTAGATACACGGCATGCTAGCAAAAGGATTCTCACCTGTCTGGAAAATGGCCATATTCACAGTACTGTTCTAACTTTATATCAATCAAGACCAAAAATGTTTTAAGGCAAACCTTTCTTAAGGATGTAATAATTTTTCAACAGGCCACAGCATATTAAACTGCTGTAGAAGATAGTTGCTCCTTCAGCGCAGAATGAGATGAAGGCATCAGATTCCCAAAGGATCACATTAAAGCTATTTTCATAATGGGAAAAAGCATGAGATACCTTCTCCTGGACACTAATATCAAGTATTGGCCACCCAGCAAGGAGCTAACTTTCATCCAAAACAAGGGTGGGTTCCTGCCAGTTCTAACCTCTTCTATAGAAGAGATTCCACAAATCTATAGTGCCATTTAGAACCGGTTCCAGCTCCCTCCCCCCGTCCGTCCGCACATCATCAAGATGAAGAGAAGGAATTCTGGGAGTTAAAGTCCACAAGTCTTAAAGCTGTCAGGTTTGAACACCCCTGGGGTTTTTTTTTTCTAAAGGGTTAGGGGTGCAAGGGTCTTGTAACTTGACAGCTTTAAGACTTGCGTGCTTCAAATGCCAGAGTTTCTGAGCCAATATTTTGGTTGCTAAGAAAGAGCGTTGTTAAATGTGTTTCACCACATTTTACAAGTTGGTCACACCCACCCAGTCATATGACTGCCAAGTCACTCCCACTAGGTCACATGACCAGCAAGCCACTCCCACCCAGTCACATGGCTGGCAAGACACTCCCACAAAGCAGGCCATACCTACAGACGGTTCTAAAGAAATTTGAAACCCACCACTGATCCAAAAGAACAGGCAACAACATGGAACACTTAAGAAACTGGATAGAAGATGAATGCTATCCAGAACTTGAAAACCAGGCCCCTGGCTGATTTAATGCCTTAAGTATCAAAGCACTCAAAACAGCCCAATCTAGGGCATCACATTGCTCTTTAAAAGTTGGTTCTCACTGATAATAAGTTGAGCAGCAGTTACAAAAAAATGAGCAGATGCAGATGCTCATAAAAATTATTTAAAAAAACAACAACAGCTGCATTCATGGAAGTGAGAGTTTTCAGCCTCCTCTACTCTAGGGCTTTAAGAAACCAGAAGAGAATTTTGTCACTATAAATTGTCTATGTATTGGAGTCTCATTAGAAAGTCCGGGATTCATTGAATGTTGTACAATTTCCCTTTGATGGATGAATGACTAATCAGAGTCCTGGAAACTTGCTTTTGCATTAACTATTTCCTATCCAGATTGTTGAAAGGACAGTTTTTCTAGATCGAAGAAAACAGAAAGGCTGGCTTGCTGGGAAATCATCCAAGGGAATGTCCACCCCACCTTTACTGCTTTGTCTCGTTCAGTCTTGGCCAGTTCCTCTTCAGTGTTCAGCTCAGGGGATCTGGGCTTAAAGAAAGACTCTGTCTTGGGACGCTTCTTTTCTGCCACGTAGAGAAGGTGAGTCTCTGAGTGTGACCAGGCCAAACAGCCAAACTGATCTGGGAACAGAAGATGATACTTGGCTCAAGGGTATGCATTTTCTTCCCTAAAGCTGCATCCCATTCGTCTCTATCAGAAAGCAAAAGCATAGTGGACATAGTTTTAAAATCTTTCTATCCCCCAAGCATGGTTTTGGATTCTCTAAGCCATCCCTCAAATATATTAAAAGACTCAAGACTCCCCCCCCCCCCCAAGGTTAACCAAGGTTTTCCTACTATTTGCCATTATACAGAGCTGGTCTCTTGCCTTTTAGGAACTGAAACAGAAACTTATACAAAGCCTTACCATCATCATATACTTGGCCATGCTTCTCTAGAGCTGTCAACTCGATGCTCTTCACTTTCCGGTTTTTTTCCCAGACCTACGAGAGCAGATACACTAGAGTTTAGCTCACAGAGCTTTTTCCTCACTGAAATCACTAATTAAGGCTTCCCCGACAATGGCCTCAGGGTGGGAGAAAACTACAGTTTCCTTTCCTGCAGGAAAATAAACCAAACCCCTACAAATCATAGCTGCTGCAACATTGCTTCCACAGACAGAAGCAATTTAAGAATGAGACCAAAGTGCAAAGAATGAAAGACCCCTATTGCTACTGAGGAAACCCCCAAGCCACGAAGCCTTACTGAGCAGGAGTGGAGCAGGCCAACATACCTCCAGGAACTGTTTTTCCTCGCCTTTGCTATTGTTCATCTTTCGTACAACAGCTTTTTGAGTTCCACTTGGAGAATCCCGACTGAGCAGTCTAGGTGAAAGATATATATATATATATATATATATATAGATAGATAGATAGATAGATAGATAGATAGATAGATAGATAGATAGATATAGATATAGATATAGATATAGATATAGATATAGA